CATCAATTACCACATATAATATTTTAATAAATTCCAGCAGAACACACATATTGAAAAACATCAATTACCACATATAATATTTTAATAAATTCCAGCAGAACACACACATTGAAACCATCAATTTCATTTCTGTTTCCTTGTCCTCCTAGTTAATTTCAGTTTCCTTCACAACTAGCTTAGGTCTTAGGTCAATTTTCTTAGGGTTTTTCTTCTTCATTTTTGTTTCAGGTCTTAAGGAGAAGAGGAAGGGAGTTTCATGACCCATACCTTTCAAATCTAACTATGTTTGAGGAAGGTTTGACACTATTCTTTCTCTTCTCCTGCTGGTTCTCCTTCTTCTTCTTCCTCTCACGTTTCCAACCCTCTTTTTCCTTTCCTCTAAGTAGTTGTCCAAATCTTCCATCAAGGTCTCATCTTTCCCTCACACGTTTATAAAGCACTCTCTACTGGTTTGGTTTAGGTTTCTGTTGGGAAAGAGGAATGGGAGGGTCGACATGCAGCTGCTGGAGACAACTTTGGGAAGAGGATGGATCATCCTCTCTCTCCTCCTTGTATTTATACTCCCCATTAAATGAGGTGGGTTATTTGGGGTTTGGTTTAGATGTGTTGTTATCCTTGTTTTGGTCTATCTAAAACCGGTTTTACCTCTCCCTCCAGCTTCTTAAGATAATTTAAAAATAACTGCTTTGCTGCCGATAACTGCATCGTTGCCGATTCAGAAATCAGCAGCGAAACGACATTGCTGCCAATTAAGGAAATCGGTAGCAAAAACTGTGTCGCTGCCGATTCAAAAATCGGTAGCGATTGTAAAGTCATCAATTCTCTCTCTCTCCAAATCGTAACATGTTGTTCCATGGAGCTACCTTCAGGAACACTTGGTCCCCCGTACTAAACTCGAGAAGTCTTCTCCTCACATCAGCATACTTCTTCTGTCTATCCTATGCGGCTTTGATGCGATCCCTAATAGTTCTCACTTTCTCCGTGGTGACTTGGACCAATTCTGCGCCATATAACTTCCGGTCCCCGATTTCCTCCCAACATAAAGGAGTTCTGCACCTCCTACCATACAAGGCTTCATATGGGGCCATCCCTATT